TCAGGAATGCTGAAGGGAATCGGAAATCTCCTCAACCGAAGGCGCAGCTACAACCCGATTTACGGTCAGTTCATTCAAGCGCGGGAAATCCACGCAAAACCTGTATTTTCCGCTTGCCTTGTTTAGAAGCACAACCGGAGAGTTGTACGAACTGTTGGCTTACTCGATTATGCCATTCTTCAACATCTCTTGAACGTGTTTATGGACCTCCTCCCGTAGATGGAGCTTAGGTGGCACGTACTATCCGTGCTCGGCACGGTGCAGACAGTTCTCACGCGTCCTCATTCTCCCGATTGCCGTGAATGTGAATTTTTCGAATCATGTCACTCTGGTTAACCATCGTGTTCTGGATCAATCAAGGTAGTCATCGACCCAATTTAAAAAAAGATGGCCCCACAATCACACCGGTGGGAATTGCACTTCTAATGGCACTCACATTCACACACAGCTGATAGAAATTTAAGTTATTCCCAACTAGTAGCAGCTGCGCCTATTATTACGGTTGTTTTTACATATGTGAAGTGAAACTTAGTACAGATCAATTGGCATACCACTATCCACGTCACGTGCAAAATCCAAACGACCTGCCGCTACACACGACTGACCTTGTTAGTGCCATCAAAACTTCTTTAAACTGAGGCTACGCAAATATGCTGCTTCAAGAAAGCACCGAAGAATGGTGTGTAACATTGCCTATATAGACAGCAGTCACACCCAGTCTGGACGTTTAAACGAGCATTTATAAAGGTTTCTCCGTTGCGTCCACTTCTAAACCGAAACAGATTAAAGTTTATCCAAGATAAATGATGGTATGGGAGTAACAGGGGCAGATTACGATGAACTCACCATAGACTACTACCTGTCCAGACGATAGTTTCACCAAATGTTATCCTTAGACTATCCGGTTGCATTTGTAAGCCTGAAGAGCACATTCAATAGTCCAGGCCATCATCCTAAGCGTCTGTGCGATCGTGGAATCAAGGTGGAACAGGACTGCTTCAACATTGATGGTGCATGACTGATCTAGAATGACTTACACCGATGGAAACATTCACATCCGCTCCAATCGGACAGCTGGATACATGATTATTGTGTTCACCTTACTGAGCACGTACACTACCTGTTTCCCATCGATCTGGATGTGGCCTTACTGATGTTGTGAGTGTGGGTCGGCAGGCAGCAGTCGAGTGACCCGTCCTTCATGTCACCTTGGTTTGTTTTGGCTAGCCGCCCATTCAAACTCTCCCACCACATCATGATCGGCACTCGACTAGCAGGCAACTGGATTGTGATAACGCAGTTTGAACAGTCTGACTGCACAAACTTGTTCTTTGGTCTCGCTTGCCTCCCTACTGTCATTCTAGTGTCCGTTGTACTCAAAACGGAAACCACTGATCCGAATGCTTGTGATTTGTTTGTGAGATAGCTCAGTGGTTTTGGGTGCGAACCTCCTAACCGGAAGGTCCGTGGTTAGAACCCAACTCCGGCATCTCAACTGCTCCTGTCTGGTTTAGACAACTGTGCGTTGTAGGTTGCTTCTGCCGAGCGACCTGGTGTGATGTGACTGGTTCCGCACGGCACCCTACTTGTCAGGCCGATCCACACTGCATTTCTTATTGATTTTTGTGCAACACACATCAGACGGTCTGTCTTCATTTCAGACCTGGCCTGACCAGGATTTATTATCTGTATCGCCCACACGCACAGGCTTGCTAGTAAACCAGTGGCCGGGGATACGATTCCATGCGTTTTGCGCCAATCGCCATCCAGATATGCGGATTGAAGTGAAGTTACAAACCGCGTGGGATTGAGTGCGTGCACATTGTCAATTTTGGTTCTTTCTCAATAAAACTAAAGGGGATTTATCAATCTTTATCAAAACGAAATCTATCGGCGTTTTTCGCCACATTGGCAAGTCATGCTGGCACACGTATCTATTGCAGTTTTGCAGAGTTCCGGGAACTATTTCAACTATCTAGATAGCGGCTTCCTGCAACCTGATACCGTCATCACGCCCGTCGGGAACACTACTGCACATTCTAAGCTCATTTTGTCCCCTAAATCTTGGACGGGTTGACCTGTATAGGTTGTATCGTTGCAGAGTTGCATGATTAATACTATGAATTAATACCTAAATTGTGGAACCGCTGTCTCCTTGCACTGACCGACACCCAGTTTGCAACACGCCAATTCGTTCAGGTATGTGTACTGAACCAGCAAAAGACAGAAACACCTGGTTGTCTGGCGATAAACAAAGCGACCCATTTATTCTGCTTGTGTATATGTATTCTCTGAGGAATTTCTAGGATCCATCCTATGTTTGCAAAAATGTGAGCTACAATCGATTTACCGAAAATGCACTCACATTCTGCTGCTTTTGGAAATTGAGTTGACTATTTATGCCAAATTCCTAGATGAGTGCATATTCTCAAGTTGACTGTACTCGAATTTCAGAACAAATTGAATTTGAGTCATCTTGGACAGTGCACGTTTTGCGTTCAAGTGCCATTCGACCCTACAGTGCGCATTGGACACATGCTTTTTTGTCTAACCTGGTTATCCCAGCTGACTGGAGTTCGCAGACATCGGCACGCTGTGACCATTCAGTACGATAGTACTGGAGCAAGCTCGCGTGACACTATTGTCATATAAATAAAACAGTAATAATAATCGTTCAGCTGCAACCCCTCGGTGCCTAGATGCCACGCCACCGGAAGGAATCACGAGGGCCGATATGGTGTCAGGTTGCTCAAGGCCAGACTGGGTTCGTACCACGGACCCTCCTCTCAGTAGGTGCGCGAGCTGACTTAAAATCAACTGATAAATGCAGTCGTTCCTTGTACCGCAAAACGCCTCGCCTGTAGGTATAGTGTTCGGTTTTCCGTTATTTCATCGACGATTTCAATGAGCACTCCGATAAGCCGGTAGCCAAGCGACATCAACCAGAGT